TATATATATATATTTTTTTTTTTTTTTAAGGCTGACTGAATTTTATTTTTCCCCTGAATAGGCACATCACTACTTGATAGTGAAAACTGTACTTGAGAGACTTGCTATCTTCGCAGATATCTGCCAAACAAAACTATTCTCATAGCAGCTTTGCTTTTAATTCCCAATAATATGTCTACTCTCCAGTTAGTCTAAGAAAAGGACTTGAATTTGCTTTGAATTTGCTCTTATGTTTTTTTCCCCTAGGTGCCCGAGATCCATATCCTATTACCAAGATATTCACAGCAGTGAAATGTTTACTTGAAGAAATTTTTACAGTTCTCATTTGACTATGTAAGAAACATAGTCTGTAGAATGGGATCCTTCCGGCAAAGTCCAATATCCCAGGCGCAAGGGGCCATTTTAAGAACGTTTTTACTGTTCTAACCAGCAGTTTCGAGCAGTGCATTAAACCCCCAACAGAACCAAAGCCCTTGTTACCTTTCAAAAGATATGTTTGCATCTTTAACTTTTCGTAGCTCGTCTTGAACTAGTTGTTTGGCACGAATTTCTGCATCAAGGGCAGACTGTAGTTCCAGCCTAGCTGACATATCCAACTTCTGGCTGCGTCGCACTTTCCAAAGTGGATCCTGTTGCAGTAAGTTACTGAATATTAATATCAACTGTCTAGAGATTTCTGTTCTTGTTCAAAGATGTAGAATAGCTTTCACACTGGTTCAGAGAATGCTCTTTTAATTAGTTATGGATGGTATACCTGCTACATGGAAATCAGTCGATAGTTAGACTTTTTTATACAAAAATGAAGTAATGAGCAATTTTTTAAACAGTTAAACCACTAACACAATATGCTTGAAAACAAAATGCTGGGTCACTGAACATGAAAGTCAAACTGAGAGAACCCATTGAAAATGGCTAGTTTTCACTGTCCAAACTAGCAAAGAGTATAAAACTTCCACAGTTACACACTGGCATTTTGAACATTAGAAAATGTACACACTTAATGTAAAACATACTAATTTAAAACATGAGTGGCAAAACCATGAAAAAATGAAATAATATGGGTCTTGAGACACCTGAGCTACCCAAGATACCTAGAATGTTTGCCTCAACAATTCTTATGCTTGCCAAGTAGCATAAGCTACACCTCTGCATATACCATGAAATTCTGGTCTAGTACCCTCGAAAGCTAATTTTCCAAGCTTTTCCAAACATTTCTCAGTGCGGACTACATTTTTGACATTCCCTAATGGATAACTCTCACACAAACTTGCAAATAACAGTCATGAAAATCAGAAACACTTTTTTATGTTGGGAAAAAATTGCCTTAGGTCAGGTTCTGCTGAAGTTACAAAACCAGTTGTAATACAAAGAACAGACAGTGTTCTTTATTCTGCCAGTAGCTAGGAAGAAAATGCCAACTGCATTTGATATGATCTTCCTTCCTATTAAACCTCTTAATATTATAATTGTCTCTTGATGAGGCAGGCAAATGTTAGCTCATGGGAAGTCATAACTTTCTCTTATTTTCTCCTATTCACAGGTTTGGAAGCAGTAAGTGACTTCTTTTATCTATATAAACCAGCAACAGATGGACTCTTTGCATGGCAGACTGTACTTACTGGCATTGCTAGGGATGTGGGCTTCCATGCCTAGCTGCAAATGGCTCTCCCTTTCCTTATGCAGGTATCTAGTACCTGCCAAGGCAAAGCAGTGTTTTTGTCTTTGAAACCATGCTCCTTTGTGAGGGGCTCTTCTATTTTGCAGATTTTTTTAAAATTAATTTTACTACTGTATGGGCAAATTATGGGATAAAGGTCTTACTGGTTTGCATAATAAAGGTACATGCTCTCAGTGTGTCACTAGTTTGTAGCAATATCAACCACAAAATAAAACTTGTTATCTCACTGTAATGGCAATTAAAATTATTCACTTGCATCTAATGTGGTAGGTACATTTCTGTACCCCCTTTTAATAGTTTAAGTTCTTGTTTCTTCTCTCCTCTGTACTGTTTAAAGCAGCTTGTGGTGGCAGATATTAGCATGAAACAATCACCCCCTGTAATTATCAAACTCTGATCAGATTATCTAGATGGATTTCACAAGCAATAGATAAAAACTAGAAATGCAGAGCACTGGATTTATTAGCAAATAATTCTGATCAAGAACAAATAGCTGAAACTAAAAATGTAGCTTCTTGGACATCCCCAGAACAGCCCAAATGTTTGCCATTTTCTTACCAGTGTTCGTGACCCCAGACTGGAACTTCTCAATGATTCTAGTTCTTCTGTCATCTTGGAAGCTAATGCTTGGAGATAGCCACGAGCATCCTTCTCATCACTGACCCTGTTGTGCAATTACAAAACCCTGTTACTTAATAGTTTCATGGCTCATAGCACCAAATAGTGTACCACCAAATAATCAGAGTGTCTGCCCTAGATTTAGGGGCATAACAGCAATGCAGGAAAAACTCTCCCAGCAAGAGAAAACTGAATACATCTTAGATTGCCTACTTTAGATTTTTTTTTTAATCTGATTCTCTTGATTGTGGCAGTTGCTAGGGAAACTGAAGTTTCCTGTCCACCATCACCAAGAGTTCTGCAGAGATTCGCTGTTATTGTTTGGAACATCATCTGCATATTGCTTCTTCAATTTTCATAATGGCTACCTTCAAGTCCTTCTGTAACATCTGAGAGGGCAGATACAATACCAGCATCTGACTAATCCCCTCACCTTACCACTCTCCACTCACTAGCTGAAATGCCTTTTCAGACATAAGTATTATCCAGAAACTAGAAATTAATCTAATTGAAAACCACTGCTATCCAAGGACCAGTCTGCAATAACATTTAACTTCAGCCAGCAGAATTTCAAGCAGGAGACACATATAGGTGACCAAATGTCTTGCACGCTGAAAATACTTGCACAGCACATAACAGAGGGAAGGACCAACCCGTGAATTAAGTGCAAGTGCTTGTCAAGTACAGCTAGTGAGGTTCTATATGTTAACATGGACCTTTTAAATCATGTCCGTTTTCCTGAACAAATTTATGAAAATTAATCAACATTCAGAAGTACAATGCTTTTGTTGATCCCAGACACATAGAAAAGGCCTGGCTATACATTAAAAAAAGCCAATCAATATTTTAAAAGTTGAAAGTGGCTATCTGGATCTCTAAACAGCACATACCACTGAATAATTTCTGCAATCTGAGCTTCCCAGTGAGCAACAGACTCCTTCTTTGCTGCTAGGTCTTGGAGCTCATCTTCTAGCTGTCTGTTCTGTGCTGTTAATTTGTCCACAAAAGAGCAGAGCTGAAACAAAAGATTAATTTCACTCATAGCTTATGTCAGTTTCAGACTTTTTACATACATGTGTGTCTATACACCTACAGAATCTGAACAAACATGACCACCTTGGGCTATCTGGAAGTTCTAACACAGACAAAGAACTGGAAGTTGTTCTTCTTTTGTGAAAACCGGAGACTAGCTCCTGAGCAAAGAACACATTGCCAGGTCGCACACAACTATCCGAAACAAAGGAAAAGAAAAACCTAGTGTAGAGGCCATCAAGAGTAAGGAGGCTGAACTGTAAGCCATCAGGAAGGCAGGCAGTCTTTGTAAATGCTTCCCTCTCTGCACAGGCTTCATTAAGAAATCAGAAGGTTGTGCCCTCTGACTTGTGGGAATCAATCCCATAAAGAGCCCTACTGGGATTCTTAAATTACTATTTAGCCAGATCTGACATTTTCATGGTGAAAACTACATTTGTTTTATTCAGATACTGCCTGAACACTCACAGATCTCTCCTGATCAATGAGTAGACTACTTCAACATCAGAAAGTAACACAGAGTTATGTTTTGCTTAAAAATGTTTCCTAAAATATTTACCCTCTCGTTTTCTGTTGTTAGCTTTTTGTTATCTTCCAAGAGCATTGATCTTTCACGCTCATATTTCTCTTTCATTGTTCCTACTGCTTCCTCCATTTCACTGTGCCTAAGGAGAAGGACAAGAAACAGAAATACTTATACTGTAACACTACTGACCCTGCAGATGAGTTTTCAAAAAGGAATAAACAGCTACGGTGAGATACCATCCTGCACAGATATGTATGCAATGCAATATACACAAAAAAGAAAGCCCTAACTAATGAATCATGTCCAAAATCTTACCTCTCTCGCTTTGTTTTCTCTAATTTATCTTTTAATATCATGATCTCTTTCTGCAGTGCAAGTTGATGGCTCTCTGAATCATGTACTTCCTTCTTCACATTTTTCACTTCCAAAACATGTGATGCTTCTCGTCGGACCAACTCCTCTTCATAAAATAAGATTTTCTTTTCCAGCTCAGACTTAATTTTGGAAAGCTCCTGCTGATGTTCTAGTGTGGCACCTGCTGCCCGGCCTCCCTGCTTCAGCTGCAGAAGAAGAAGAGAAACCATCAGGAAGAGACTATGATCTTTATATTTTGGGAATACTATTTAAACTTAGAATTGTCCAGTTGGTGGCACCTTGGAAAGATTTTTATCTGGAACTGATTTAAAAGGAGCCTGTTCTCCAAGCATTATGCCCCCTAATTGACTGCTCTGACTACACAACTCTAATGAGGGGCTCAAACGGGTTGCAAAGATAACAAATGTTTAATATCTGCTTAGAATTAATAAACTGGACATTTTTAAGACATTACTGTCCAATGAGATATTAAAGTACTTCAAGCAAAAAAAAAAACCCCAATAAAATCTTAATAGGTTAGGTCAGGCTTCTAGTAATGCTGTAGTTTTAAGACAACAGTTGACTAAGCAAAACTACTGCAGCTCCTGTGTCATGAGCAAAAATCTGTCAAAAAACATATAACCTTTAGTGCTTCCAGTTCATTTTCCAGTTGTTTGGAGAAGGCCTCACTGTGCTCGCGAAGCTTGCGTTCTTTTGAAGCTTCTGATACAACTTCTTCAAGTTGGGCTTCCAGCTGCAACAAGAGTAATTTCAAGTCACTTCAAGACAAGATAGCACTGTCTCCTCCATATGGGTGAGCAGCAAGTTTTTCCTTATTTCTAGTTTACGTTACACCACTATAACAATCATCTCAGAATATCGTAACTGTTTTGCCTTCATTGATCAAGGTATCCATCTGTCTCACACAGCAGAGCTATTATTATATGACTTTTTGTACTGATATGAACTACACCAAGTATGTGCAGGGATAACTGCACAGCTTCTATTTATGCTAAGAGAAGGAAATGGCACTACAAAATAATTGCAGCTGTTAAAGAACAAAGTGTCCCACATCTACAGGTCAGCTCCATGCCTCTGTATCTGCTAAGGCCCCAACCTCTGAGCCAAATTATTGCAAAATACTTCAAATACAAACACTGAACGCTTTTACCTTCCAATGATGGAACAAAATAAGCTTGATCATCAATTTACAGACTTCAGAAAGCTTATCAGAAAGACAATTTAAGTTCAGTGGCAACTAAGGTGGCTGTTGCAATTCAAGCAATAGTGGCACAGTTTTAAAACCTGACAGGAAGAGTAAGATTTGTATCTCCGCATTCAAATGCAACTGCAAAGTTGTTCTTAAACAGATAGTACTTAGAATTGTGGGCCAAGATAATGAACTTAGGGACTATGTGCTGAACAGAAGATTGATACAGCTGTTAGGAAAGAGAGAACAAAGGAATTCTGTAAGAACAAAGACAGGAGATTCTGTGCATGGAAATATTTAACTAAATAAGCAACAACACCTGAATGTCTGCTGCACTGCTCTAGAGACAAGGTACCACAGCCCTGCTCATAAAATACGATGCCACAGACCTTTGCCTTTCCCAATAAACTACCACTTCTTATTAATGGATAAAAGTCGGAAATTTCACCTCTTACTACATTTTCATAGATTGCCGTTCAACTTGCTAGAAGTTTTCTGGCAATTTTATAAGGCTCTTGAATTTCTCTTCCACGCTTCACCCAGTTAATGCATAGTATTTGATGATTTTTCAGTGATTAAAACATGCTGGGTTAACCACAATACCTGTTTCTTATGACCTCTTCTGGTTATTCACCTCATCTTACATAAAACTATAAATAACCTGGAATACTAATAGCAAATTAACTTGCTTAAAGATATTACAGAGATATTACCAGGAAGGAAAACCACATATCTAGTCTGTATCACTATTCCTCCCTCCAGCTGAAGAGAAAAAAATCTGTTAAGAAAAAAATTAATTCAGAGTACTCCAGCCTTAAAGCACATGAAGAAGACATTAAGCTTTCTAGGTTTCAAGAAGACTATGAGTCAGAGCCTACAAGAATCAAAACACAAGAACTAAAAAGCTGGACATAAAGCAAGAATAGTTTCCTCCAGATTAAAATCAGACTGAGTACAAACAAGAAAAGACTCAGTTTGTTTCCTGATACATCAGTACAACATTTAGAAACAAATTCAAGGTCTGTTTTGGGAACTGTAGCAAAATTACATGGAAGAGTTACTGGGGCAACTTCTCACAGATGGACAAAGTAAATTACCATTAACAGTGCCAATTTTTTAATAAAATCACATATGAGGTACTGGATAAGCAGCAGCTGAAACGTTATTGTTAGCTTTTTTATCAAGCTACCTCTTTTCTGATCTTCTCCAATTTACGGATGTCCTGTCGCATAGCATCAATTTTCTGCATGCTCACTTCCACCTCTTCTTCTTTGTCGCGAAGTTGCCGGGACAGCTTCTGCTTTTGAGACCGCAAGTCTCCCATCCTCTCACTGAGCTCGGAGAACTCTTGCACAGCTAGCTTTCTTTGTTGGTGGGCATCCCTCAATTCTTTCGATTGTGTCTTTAATCTCTCTGAGGCTTCTACAAGTTGCTGGTTTAAATAAAAAAATATAATAAGAAGAGTCATTTGAACTCCATGTATTTTTTCCAAGAAAGGAACTGGACCTACATAAGCATGGCTTGAAAGTTCAACCACCTCACTTCTAAGCATTGTTTCTAATTTTTAATTTACACTTTTTTTTTTCCCCCTGGCTAAGCAGCTGCAGTAACATACCCAGAAAGCAGTTATTCTGCTTCTACTGTGGCAGCTCCAAGAGCACCTTTGCTGTTCCAGAACTCTTTGTTATAAATCTGACTACACAAGGCCACCTCACTTCTAAATAATTTAATTTTAGATTACTACCATGTAACTCCACAACAGCAACCTTTTTTAAAGGAATGTTTTAGCAGACAGCTCATTCAAGGGAACCACCAAATACACTGCACCAGCACTGAGATGCTGCAGTAAATCTTGTGGAAGTCTTCAGAAAACTGAGGAAGATTCCTTAGAACAAACCGTGAAGCTCTAATACTTCAATTTTAAGTATAAAAGTGGTTTCCTTTACAGCAAGTACTTAGCAAAAATTAACAAGTTAAAATAGAAATTGAATGTTCTACATCAAATCATTCGAGAGTAGGAGGAAAAAAAAAAAAAAGAGCAGAACCAGACAAAAGGATAAATGTACACTGGCCAAGAGACATCTAAAATTTCTGCCATTAGCAGGAGCACTGCAGGAGCATTCATTAACTTCTCAAAAGGCAGGTGTTCAAACCAGAGGAGGAGATTTGCCTTCTCTGCTATTCATATGATCCTGTGCATAACCCTTACCAGTGATTAACAGACAGAAAAGAGGCTGTTAAATTTTTTTTGACAAAAACCCTAGAGATTTTGGCTCAGGGATTACTTTTGGACCCATCTGAATGCCATGTGAACAATATGGCTACTAGCCCTTTCCAAAACTAGCTATTTGAATACAGGTAGCTTTTTTTGGTATTATTGAAAGTGGATATTATTATTATAGGATATGCAAAGCTCCTATTTAAGTCGGCAAAATATTTTAAAGCAAGACACCATTACATTTTAGGAAGAAAACAAAGGTGTAATTTACACGACAGTAAATAAACTCAGCAATTACATAAAAGTCACCCTCAACCTTAAGAAATAATTAACTTTTTGGTATTACAAAGAGTAAGTGCGTTCAAGTTGGCACAGTGACTTAGCTCTATTAACTCTTTCATATATATATATATATATGTTTCTTGGTATGTACAGGACTGATGAGTAGCTATAGATCTGAGTTTAACTCCTATGTATATTTAAACATTAGAGAATAATCAAATTTTTAAACTAAAACCATTTTTAGGTGTTTGTTCCATCTACCAAAACCTACTGAAACTAGTAAGATGCTTATAAACTTCCAAAAAAGAAAGTGTGTTACTTTGGAAAACTACTGTTATTACTAATGAAATTAACAGGTTCTCAGTACAGTTCTAAAAAGCAGCATTTTAAATACTGAAATTGCAATCACAACAAAACTGTTCTAGAACTGCTTTACATGACCATTTTTAAATGTATTTATCTTTGGATCAATACCTTATGCAGGTCCTCCTTTTCTTGCCGCAGTACTCTGCACTGTTTTTCCAGTCCTTTCAACTTCTGTATAGAGTCTTCATGTTCTTGTCGAAAAGCCACAGCATCTGCAAGTTGTCCTTCCAATTTACTTATATCTGTAGATTAATACATATTAACAGTAACTGGTCCCAAATTTACACAAATAAAGCAAGCAACATTAATCAAGCAAACTGGCATCATTTCACTTAAACAATTGATTTCTTTCCCATGCCCGCCATTTTGGATAGTTAATTTGGGGGCATTCACAGCTCCACAAAATTCTAATTTTCTCAGCCTATTAAAGAAATCCTCCCAAAGACTGTGATCTCTTGAAGTGAAAAAGACTCAGCACAGGGCTTTGCTTTGTTTTTGAGGAATGCAATTTCTGGCCCTTGAAAACACTGAAATAAATGTGAGTTGTTTGAATTCCTGTTCTAGTAATTTGTCTCCTAAATAGTTTTCATTATATGACAAGCAAGGCTACAGTCACCAGTCCATCCAGCAAGACAGGAAAGGACTATTTATTTCCTAGAGCACATAAGAACTCACAATCTGGGAAGGAAATACCATCCTGCACAAGGCAGGCTGGAGACCCGACTGCCCGTATTCTTGGTAGTATGTTCTCCTGGCAGTTCTCCCTTTACTCTCAAAGAAAATTACACACATTTGATTTTAAATTATCATCTTTAAACACAACAGACTAACCACCTTTATGTATTTCTGCTCAGTCTTAAGAGCCGGTAAGACAATGAACTGCCATTCTCCATTATGTTTTCATTACTACTTCTATTAAACAAATAAATAAGAAATTGCACACGGAATAACTGTCTTACTCAATTTCCACTGATATCTGTGGCAGAATAGGAAGCTGCACCCATGTACTCAGAGATCCAAATACTGCCATAATGATTAAAGTATTAATCCTTTTTTCATTTCAGACAAATCTCCTCCCACTCTACATGAACCAATAGTACTTCTTTTTAAACCAAACCATACTGCTAGTTTTTTTTATTTAACAGGGCACCACCAGCTGAAGAGCTGGATAGACATGAACCATTTGCAGAAGAGTAGAACCTTAACCTAACTCAAACCTAACTCCAGAATACACAAGAATAGCTTTTTTTTTTTTTTTGAAAGATAATCTACTTAGGAGAGCTGAGTTATTTTTGCAACACATGCACCTACAAAAGGGGTATGCTGCCAAACTGCAGGGGGAAAGAAAAGAAAAATCAGCATCAGCAACTCAGCATCTGAACTCACGCTATGTGAACCTCTTTGAACCTCTCAGCCAAGTTATTAGGATTCAAAACTACCATTTTGTTTATCACTGATTCCCACATAAAAATTAGATGCTAACAGGAGGTTTGTATGGATAAACTAAGAGCATTGTCAAGCAACAGATTTTCAGTGATATGGATGAGTCAGTCTTCTCTCAGGACAGATGCCAGTATTTGTTTTTCTGCAACGCTCAGTGCTTCCTAATTAATGCGTCAGCAGACAGAAACACAAGGGGAGCAGGAGCTTATAAATATTTAAATGTGAACTATTATCAGACATTCCCCCACCTTTTCTCCTACGTTACTACCGAACAACTAGTCTTCTCTCCCCACTGTCTCTTACACCTACCTCCAAGTAAAACTCCTCCAAAACAATACTCCCCACAAAAAGGAGGAAGAAGAGAACAGGATCTCCTGAGATTTTTAGGGAAACAAACATCACACAAAATATTTAACTGAACCCATCCACACAATTCACTGTACTCTAGACTATCCATGCTAGTATATGCTATCAGGCCAAGCAAGTGGAAGAAAAAGTTAAGTGGTCATCTGGAAAAACTGAAATGCCTCTTAACATTGAATCAGACTTAAAAAAAACCTTTATTTTTTCAGCACCTCAAGAACATTAATTCTACTTATTGCGAAAACACAGTATATAATGCTGCTAGGAGTAGCAAAATAAATTGCATTACTATAATTGTCACGCCAGAGGCTTACCTGTTAATTTGTTCTTCAACCGTTCAATTTCTTCATTTAATTTTTTAATCTCCTTATCACGGCTTGTATTTACTGTAACACACACTGGACCTTGGAGGTTCTGCATTGTCTGTGTAGGCTCTTAAAATCAGAAAAGGAAGGAAAAGATTTTCAATAAAATACATTCTAATTCTTCGTAATGAGTAGAGCTAAGTATCCAAACAAACACAAACCACTAAACCACTGACCTTGCAGTTTTCTGTTCAAATCCTGCTTTTCTTGCTCTAATTTCCGTATTTTCTTTTCATAGCCTTCTATTTGTGAAGTGTTCTTTAAGTCACGCTGTACATCCGTATCTTTGGTTGTAGTGTCAGACTGCATCGCACTCTTTAAAGTGCCTCTATCAGATAAAGAGCTGAAAATAAACATGTAAGTTAGAACTTCTTAATAAATACTCACAGCAGTCTATAGCAGTGACATGGTGGGATTCCACCAAATAGGCACCTTAAATTTACAAGAACAATTAGTGCAGTAACCGTTACTATTGAGACAACTGTCAGGGTAGGTAAAGTTATTATTCCCTAGTTACTGTGTATGCTGCTGTAGCATCAAGATACCTGCATTCAGGACTTTAATGATGTTGATGTACGTTCACTTTACAAACTGCCTGAATGATTGAATGATTGAAAATGTTAACTCTCCTATGCCAAAGTTTACTACTACCTAACAGTGAAATAAGCAGAATGGAAAGTGTACCTGCACCGAGACTGCTGAAAACCAAACTCAAAAAGTTTAGTTTCAAGTGTGAAAAAGATGGATTTAAGTTAAGCCACATGATTTCATTCTGAAAAGGATGAGAAGTGTGTACTGGGTACTTTCTGAAACAGTATTGCATGGGGTAACAAATCCCAGCAAAGGGAAATAAGGAATAACAGGGCAGAATAACCTTAAAATCAGAGACAAGTATACGTTTGAGGGACCCTCAAGTCAGATGGAGGCCATTTCAAAGATGGGCAATGTGAGCCACTTTGGCCATGCTCAGAAGCATCTGTTAACTTAGCCCACCAGCAGGACTTTGGAGCAATGAGCTAATCCTGAACTGTTCCTGGCAGACACACAACATGGACAAGAATTGCTCTCAGCCACTCAACGCAAGAAGAGCAAGTTTATACCCAATTGCAAGTAACACATCTAGTTGCTTAACTTTCATTCATTTCAAATAGATGGAATACTAAATGCAAAAGCATCTAATCTTGGCAAGCATGATCAAAATATGCTCAGACACTTGAAAAATAAAAAGGTTTATCCAGAGGTACACCTATGGACATCAACCTTTCTACATGTTTATAAAAATGAAAATTTCCTAGAATTAACTGCATTTGGGAAGCAAGACTAATGAAAAAACTTACCTATCAGTTGTGTATGTAAACCCAACAAATGGTAAATGCAATCCAGAAAAGCCTGTATGAGAACTTGGTGGCACCACTTCCTGCATGAAAACAACATGCATGAAAACCCAAAAGAGAACCCATACAGAGCCAAAGGCATTTGATTTAGCCTCAACGGTTAAAGACAGACATTTAAGGGAAAGACTTCTCTTAGCGCATACCAATACACAGTTGGCATTTATGCTTCATTGTACAGCCTTCCATTGTTCCTAGACGAACTTTATTTCAGATTAGGTCACTTAATACAATGACCTGAATTTAGGAGGCTCTTGAACTGGCACTTAAAAGGGCAGCATTTCAACAAGTTCAAAGCACAATGCAACCATTACAAGAAAACATCAAAATTCCCAGTTCCTAATTAAAAGTGACCTGGCACCAAAATGCATGCTGTTAGTTTTAGCATGCTAGTTACTGCTAGATACATAATCAAAACACATGCTAAAAGCTCTTCATTTCTTGGGATACAAGCTGACAAAAAAATTACAAAAGCCCTCTGGCTGCTCCTGATCCAAGTTTGTAAGCTACTACACAACAGAAATGGAGAGGGGGAGCACCAAAGTCCCCACTCCAAAAACCAACCTCCTGGTTCTGAAGCAAGTGGAGAAGTAACAGTGTGAGCTCTCTTGCCTGGACAGCTGTGATTACAAGCTGCATGGAGAATACATGTGTATTTCTGAAGACAGATTTTTTTTTTCGCCTTTGAAAAGGAATAAATACAAATACTAGCTCCTTGTAAAGGTAAACTAAAAGGGCAACTAAGGGTTTTTTCCCTCTACCTAAATATCTTTTAACTTTGACCGTGTAACAGTACTCCATTTTGGCAAGTGCTACCACTTAGAAAAGCAGCTCATCATTTCTGATAACCCAAAATGCCCGAGAGACAAAAAACCTGAATTCTTCACATTTGAAATTACTTTTTTCTTCTCTTACATTACTTATTTTGAAATAAGTTCTCACTACTAACTTACAGTGCAGCAGGTTGCATACTTGCATTAGTAATATTTAAAAACAAAGACTCACTGGATTTCTTAATACATCATCATCTACATCAAAGTTTGAAGTGTCAGAAGGACTGCTAACTTCTGGAATGTAAGGTGCCTCTAGGTTTCGAATGTTATCCCAATTAAGTCCTTCAAAAAATGCATGAGACTTAAAATCCTCTATTCCATTCTGTCCCAGTCTACGCTCCCTACTGCAGATAAGTCGCTGAATAAGATCTTTTGCTTCTTCAGATACATCTGTAACATGTGATGGAAACTGAAATCGTTCCTAGAAAACAAAACAAATAGAGAAATTTTTAGAGAAGGAATCCATACCATAACCTTCAACAGTAGTTTCAAAAAGAACGTGGTAAATTACACGTATTTTTTTTCACTTATAGGTTAAATACCTGTTTTTCTCACATTTAGCAAAAATTTATATTATCATAAACAAAAAGATCTAAAAATTGTACTTACCACTAACACCTGAAATTACTCTAGCTAAAAATTGGAAAAACTTTTCTGTATTTTATCTTGCTACAACTACCACTGTATAGTCAAGAAGGGCTTTTTGTCCTTATTTTTTTTTCAATAAAGGACTAGCACATATATATATATATATATCTTTTTCTAATACAACTTTCAAGTTTAAAATAATATCATTAGAGACCAAACCAGGATAACTGAAATTAAACTTTAAAACTTCCATTGAAAAACATACAATCATATTGATTGTGTGTCCAAGTGAGATTAAAATATTAAATCTGCTGGACAACAGCTTCAAATTTCCTCCCAAGTAGTTTAAGAGCCAGGTAGCCAGAGTTTATGCTGGTTACATTTGCAACCAGTCAGTTCACTGAAGAAATTAAAGCAAGTGAGAGATTAATATTCATCACAGCAAGGGTGTGAGCTCTGGCAAGGATTTCATGTCTTATCCATCACTGCTTCACTGTGAGGGAACTCATCCTGGGGAAAAGAAAATACAGCAATACACTCTACGCAAAAGTTTCTGGCTACCTAGGATGAATATGCACATAAACACATCCTACTAATACAGCTCTTGAAAGGACACTGTGAACTGGTTTATTCTTATTCTCTAATGTTCAGAATGCACCCAGAAGTTCCAACACTTCTCTACCACTTTGACCATGGACAGATGTCCTGACCTCATGTTCTTCATGCAGCTCAAGTTCACATTTTTCTACCAGTTCCACCCTGCACAACTCCCCCCAGCCTCATGTTCTTCATGCAGCTCATGTCTACAGTGGTTAACTTGCCTGTTCCCTTTTTTGTTCTGTTATCAGTGTGACAGAAAATGTGCACAGCTGTGTAAATAATACATTACTTCACTTCTCCTGCACAGCCCAGAGGAAACTTTAAATGGGCCTAACACGAGAGTTGGTTTTAATTTCAGTTTTGTGATGACTGCTTAGCTTTTCCAACAAGAATAACATCAACATTTAGACAAAAATTTCCATTTGACAAAAAATTCAATTTTCACAATTAAGAGAACCTTAAACCCGAACCAACAAATCACAACAATATGGTTCCAAAACATCGTGAAAAAGCCAAGAGCGAGCATCACTTCAATATCTTGAAATGTTTCTCTGTAAACATTACAAATTCATAGCTCTTACTTCATGATTCATAATCTTCCCATAGGTTTCCACTAAGGACTCTGCATAAAAGGGTGTTTCACCATACAGCATTTCATACATGCAGACACCCAGTGACCACCAGTCACATTCAGGCCCGTATTTTCCCATTCCATCTTCCATTGCTTGCAGTATCTCAGGGGAGATGTAGTCGGGCGTACCCACTGCTACTGACGACTGTACCTTTAAAATAAGGCAAACATAATTCTCGTAAGTTTTCAGGTTCTCTCAGCAACTTTCTCATTCACGCACTAGTATTTCTGACAAACAGAGACACCAGGACATGATTTGGGAAGGGAAGAGATTTATAAAATCACAGTGGCAAAAAAAAGAAAATACTAATAACAAAGACTGCAAAGATTAAGTTCCAGTCCACTTCTACAAAAGATGAGTTGATATGTTTTATTCTGAACACAGTAGAAAACCAAAATAATCACAACTATTGTGAAAGCAGAGAGACAAGAGGAGAATATGTTTCGCCTTTGTGTCTCTTTATACTTTAAAATTGCAATTGACTGCCAGAAGTTTAAATGAAAAATGAATAGGCAAGGAGTTCAAGTCCTATGCCTGAGTTTTACAGTTTGATTTGACGACCATAAAACAAGGTCCCAGGGTAAGTATTTCCCTATTTTTATTATATCAGAAATTGGTTTAATGTGCAAGTGGATGCAATACAGGTGTAAGGTGGGGAATTGCCCTGAGCCCACGTAGTGGGGAAGCCCTGACCATCAGGGCAGCAGCAGAGCAGCTCTAATCTCTAGGAATATATTATCAGATTTCACAAAGAGCTATACTGGCTCCTTCCATTTCATTCTGCATTTTAGTATGGCAAATCTTTGACATGCATTTTATGACTACAGAACATCATCAAGAACTGAGTTTGTGCCAAAACTGGTGAACAATGTTGCATGCCATACTTTGGCAGGATTGGCCCTTCTGGAAGCACCCTACACTCAGCAAAACAAACAAAAAAATCTCACGAGTGAGCTAGCTTTCAGGGGTGTATCCAATCTGGTGCACAAGATGGTCAATTACCGCAACGTTGCTGCTCCTTTTGTAAAAGGCATATGAAATAAACCGCTTGTTAATTATGTCCTCATTTTGGATGACTTATACTTCAAGTCTGTCACGACTGCATGTTCTGGTCACCTACGATTCCAGCATGTAAATAACACCAAACTTCTATCCTTTTTTAACACAGAGTCTTTGGATAGCTCACAAAAATATCACGAGAACTCACATGGCTAGTACGAGAAAAGGTAAAAGAAAAAACATAGCAAAGGATCATTTTAAAAGGTATCTGCCTGTAAAACAAGGAGACGAAGATGTCAAAAAACTTTTTATAAATACGTTGAGTTATACACTTCACTCGATTTTTAGCGTGTCAAAAAGCTTACAAACTATCACTTCCCTGATGCACACTGACAATATGTAACAGCTACAAGACCAGCAAATTACTCAAAAGGCCCCACTACCAGTCACCCAATTAAATTCTGCTTCATACATACTGTGCCATCTTCACTCATTTTCAGACAGGACCCAAAGTCTGCCAGTCGTATGTGGCCATTCATGTCCAAAAGAACATTATCAGGCTTTATGTCCCTGTTATAACAGAAAGAAGCAAAAAGATTTAAATATACAATATTAGCTGTGCTTGTAAAGAATAATCTTGTATCAGAACAACAAATAATTTTATGTTGGGATACCCGTGGATGCAAACTCTTTTTATTACAGCATTTACAAACCTCTCCTCCCGCTGAACTTACAACTTTGCCTGCAATATTGAAGCCTTAGATTACATCAGAGATTCAGCTCATCAAAGTTGAACTCTGAATGGTCAAACAACCAAGTAGAACAACTACGGTGGGTCATACAACTGTAATGGATACATAGTCTACCCCATCAACATCATTTCAAGATTATATGCATCACCATATATTGTTTAGGAGCAAGAAAGCCAAAAGAGAAAATGCAATCTTTTAATCTCATGTTTTTCACCAAGATTTATAACCAACTTCTGACTTCTCATCGATGAAGATTTTTTTACTTCTCTAAATTTTGTCCAGCCCTTCTGTTGGCCAGTATTTTTCAACTGCTATTCAACACTTTCTATACACTATTGCACAGCACCATTTGCTTCTATTGGTACCTAAGGACCTGTGCATCCTGTGTACATGCAGAGGTTAACTCTACAAATGACTAATTCCCTTAGCTCTAGAACATCCAAGTCTTGCAAGGTAAATTGTACCAGTCTCCCTTCCTTTCTGTACCCAACACTACCCAGGATCAGCTCCCAAAAGGCTACCATATCACCATGCCATTTTGAAATATTATTTATCTGAGCTAGCAAAAAAAGATAACCAAACCTATACATGTGTTGATTTTTTAAAATACCACACTTCTTCAATAATATTATGTATTAGTAATAAGTAAAACCACCTGTACTTTACATAACCCACCAGTCTTGCTGCACCATAAAATCCAGTATTTCTTTTCAAATGGGAAATTCCAAATGCCATTACACATGCTCAAAAATTTGAAAACTGTACAACAGCTTCAGCTTAATTTTTGAGGAAGAGACTAGAAAAAAAAAAGTACTCTAATACAACTTGCTCCATAGATGTGAAAATTGCCAATGTCTGATTTTTAGGGTGCTGAATTCCACAGTTTCACACTGGAGGAGACTTATGAGAAAAACCACAATAGGTTTAATAAAGGGTCCTCGTATGTGTAAAAATCCTGCCACTCTGATAAATTTTTCCAACACAAACTTGAATTAACACTTTTTAACCAAGGGCTAATGCTTTGACATTAATTACTGAAATTTTACTAATACTGTTGCTCATTAGCATTAAGACAAAATACTAAATGCTCATCTATGCCTGTCAACATAAATTAAATGCATACTTACTTGTTACAATACAGAAAAATATGTGCTAACCCAGAAAATTAGACCATCTCACTATGCTTTCCTAACAAAGAGTAATTTTCTGTTGTTAAGCTTATTCCATCCATTTCAGTCCCAGATAGTCTCAAGATTCCTTTACACTCCCATAAGCACAAGTCAAGCTCAGTAGGTGCAGAGTAGTATTAAAGCTTATATACAACTATACACCATTTCTTTTGTTTGTTTTTTAACAAATGCTGTTCACAGTGCCATTTGAAGCATGAGCCAATCTCATCCAACACATCTCTGCTTTACTACTTTGCATGCAGATCTTGCTTGCGTAAGGGAACACCGTTTCTGTTCAGAAAATCTTAATGCCTCATCTCTAAGCTCCACTGTTTCCTATCTATAGCTAACAGGTCATATAAGCCTTGAAAGTGTCCTTGAAAATCCTCTCCAGAGCAATCATGCTTTCTCCTAATCCATTCCAGTTGCCAAGCAGTAATTTTTTGGGCATTCATACCTCTCCTATTCAAATTGTATGTTTGGCCTCTGAGCCTCACTCCTACTGCCACAACAATCAGTCAGCCCCATGCAAAGATGCAGCTGGTCATTTTGTCAGGACACCTTTCCTCGGAAATGCGTGTAATGGTGCCTCTGGTGACGTTCTCTGAGTCCGTAACATTTTAGAATCACCACATATTGGTCACATTTACTCACAGGAGTATTACAGGGTTTATGTATCTTATCTCTGTTTAATTTTTGAAACAGTGATTAAAGTCCGAACAGAAGAGTTCAAAGCATTATAGTTCAATAATTCCCAGTGTCTTTTAAACATTCATTGTAAATAAAAATCACTTCACTTACCTAATAGTTTTCACTCACAAATTTCATAAAACAGACAGTAAAACTATCTTTATTTCACAGACTATGAAATAAAGGCATAAAGGGGTAAAAGGGACCTGGCCAAGATCTACCTGCCATGTCAGATACAATGCTAGTATGAAGTCCACTTCTCCTGAGCCAGGACTTTCCAGGACTTATCACGAACCCACTTGTATGGCCACAAGCAGCTTCCAGTTAACTGAAAAACCTAACTATTCTCACTCCGCATATTTTCTAACTTCTGTATTTACTGAAATCAAGCTATAAAGTCAGCATATAGAGACACAACTGCAAAGATTTCCAGAATTTCTATAGTTTTGCTTTGTAACTGACATATCATACACAGTTGTCAAATCTGAAAAAGTAAACAAAAGCTAGAAATTCTCACTTGATCAAGATTCTTTCAATTATGAAATGAAATATTTATCAGGTGCCTCCCTTGCACTACTCACCACTCTTCTAAAACAGTTGCTCCAAGAGGAAGCCAAAAAAGCAGCATGCAAAGCGTTCTCTACCTTCCTGACCCATTTCCTCTGGCAGAGAACGAGGAATATTATGTACTTAACGACTACAGAACACAACCTAAGTTAACGCGATGGTAGGCACTGATCTGGAATATACATCCTGTGTGCGGAAACAATTAGGCACATGCCCACTCATTACAAAAAACATTTGAGGACGACCTCAGGTAAACAGTTGCACTGATGTTATCATGGCCTTACTGTGCATAAATTTCACTAGAATGCCTAAACATTTGCAGCAAATTCAAACTGCTTCAAACTTCTAGATTGGCTTGGACAGAGGCAGATAAATGTTCATGAAGTGAATTGAGAATAAGTCAAGAAGCTTGATTAAAAATAAAAGCTTTAGTAAAGGTTAGTCAGATAAATGTCACTGCTTCTAGTATCAATCCATCAAAACTTGATATTTAAAATGTAATAGCTTATACAGCTATTATACAGTATATAGTAAGCAAGTAGTCACAGTAGTTTGCCTGTGGCTACTGTGTCCATTTGTATACGTAGCAATATCTTTAGGATTAATTTCATACAACTGTACATGTATTTTTTCCCGAGATGGTATTTTACCTGTGTACATAATGCAGCTCATGTATGGAATGTATAGCAAGCACCATTTCACCAATGTAGAACCTAGCCATATCTTCAGGAAGCTTGTCTTCAAACTTACTGAGAAGTGTCAGTAAGTCACCACCAACATAGTAGTCCATCACTAGATACTGAAAAAGGAGAAATAAAGTAGTTAAGTAAAGAGTGACAGGCGATAAGAAAAAAAAAATTAAAGCTCACCAGATATCTGCTGCAAAAGACCCTTTTACTAATTTTTTCCTATGCCTGGGGAAAGTTGTCAAAATCTGTAATAATTTGCATTACTTTTATTTGCTCCTTTAGTGTAAAAACATACCATATTCCTTTAATAATTGCAGTAAGGGTGACACATCAGCATTCAGTTCTTACCATAAAAACAACCCAACCAAAATATGGCACCAACAAACAAGTAAAGCAGGGTAAATTTATCTCTGTCCTAACTACAGTGCCACACAAATAAAATTATCTAATATCACCAACTAATGTAGGTTATCAACCTTTAAACTGACAATTTCCAGAGGATGCAGGAAAACTGTTAGAAACAATACTTGATGCAGCATAGTCCAAAACACGCATTACTACTTTTAGTACCATTTCAATACTACTGGTGGTTCCAAAAGTGGGACTTATCACATCAACATCTTCAAACACTCATCTTGGCACATGTCACATCACGGATGTATAACATGGCTGGCAGGAGCTTGATGACACTATTCATTAGGGATGCCCATGACAAGCCAGAAGCACTGTCAAGCCAGAAGCACTAGAGCGGTGGGAAACTTAAAAATCAAACATTTCTGTTATTTCAAATATGTTTCAGTTAAAAGGTAAACAACATCCTAGGCCAATTGGCCATCATCCTACCCACAGAAAGAACCAACACATATAGGGTAACATGAAAGGAAAGAACTCAGACTTGCTATTTGTTTCTCATACCACAAAACAGGGATCACGTTTTGGTTATTTCCTTGCAATATCCACCTAAATTCAGACCATCACTTCAAGTATAGTGACTTTATCTGGTACTGCCAGTCCTGAGCCATTTTGTTCCATGCTTCCCAAGATGCTTTGAGACATGGTTTTAGGAATAACTTTGCTTATTCTGGAAATAACTTTACAAAGCAGTCATCTTATTTTTCTTCTCAAGGTAAAACAAACCTGCAATCCACTTTCCCTGACACAGATTTATCTTCCATAAGAGATGCAAATTAAAGAAGACAGAATCATAGAATCATTAAGGTTGGAAAAGACCTCAAGGATCACCAAGTCCAACCGCCAACCCACACCACCTTACTCACTAAACCATGTCCCTAAGCACCACATCTACACGTTTCTTGAACGCCTCCAGGGATGGTGACTCCACCACTTCCCTGGGCAGCCTGTTCCAATGCCTGATCACTCTTTCAGTGAAGAAATTTTTTCTAATATCCAGCCTAAACCTCCCGTGGTGCAACTTGAGGCCATTTCCTCTTGTCCTATCACTTGTTACTTTAGAGAAGAGGCCAGCACCCACCTCACTACAACCTCCACAAAGGCCCATAAAGTGCAATACTAATCACTTTCTCACTGTCTTTTGGCTTAAAAGAGCAACTCTGAAAGGCATAGGTTTTGATATTTTTCTCCATCTTTTTCAAATTATATCTTAATCTGATAGGTAAATTTCATCACTTACATTGAAATCAGTCTGTACTGCACAACAGAAAGGAATTTTAAAATGTGTTGGAACACTGTACACGTACAACTATGTCTGAAAAAAAAAGGCTGCAGACAGGAATGAACAATCTTTTAAAAGGGATATTGCATTAAAGTATTTTGTCTCAAACAGAAGGCTAAGAGAGCTTTTAGAGCTTTCCGTGGGAGCTGAAATATCCTTCCTGTCAAAGAGTCAAGGTAACGCACTTCCCTCAGCTCCCACAGTGTTCATAACTCAGCAAGAACTCAGCTGACCCATGAAATGAGGCACTTGGATCAGAAGATGGTGAGACCTCTTCTGTAAGAAAGTCAAATTTTATTAATCTTCCTGAATTGGAACAACAATCTTCCTGCCAGGAGACACTTCTCCCTTCACATGGGGTTAAAATAAAGGCAATTCTGATGCTGAAATCTAGAGTTATCGTATTTCTTCCAGGGAAGGGACTACATCAAAGAGAGAGAGAAGTTGGAAATCAAAGGGGGAAAAAAGACATCAAAATACTCTTCATGAATACTCAGGAGTCTTTAAGAGGCTGAGAGCAGGCCAACACACATAGGCTCTTCTTCATGAATGAGACTGGGAAAGAAATTTTTTCTGATAAGTCATAAGAAAACCAACAGATTTGAATCTGGAAAAGATTAAGAACTTCAGGTACTATACATGTTTCTAATATTACCAAAGAATAGTTTGGGTTGGAAGGGACCTTAAAGATCACTTAGTCCAAATCCCCCTGCAATGAGCAGGGACACCTTCAACTACATCAGTTTCCTCAGAGCCCTGTCCAACCCGACCTTGAATGTTTCCAGGGATGGGGCATCTACCACATCTCTGAGCCACTTGTGCCAGTGTTTCAACACCTCCACAGTAAAAATTTCTTCCTTATGTCTAGTCGGAATCTAAATCTTTCAGTTTAAAACCATTACCCTTGTCCTATCACAACATGCCCTACTAAAAAGTTTGTCCACCATCTCTCCTGTAGCCCCCTTTAAGTACTGGAAGGTTGGTATAAGGTCTCCCCGGAGCCTTCTCTTCTCCAGGCTGAACAAGCCCAACTCTCTCAGCCTCTCCTCATCAAGCCCCAACTCTCTCAGCCTCTCCTCATATGGGAGGTGCTCCAGCCTTCCGATCACCTTTGTGGCTCTCCTCTGCACCCCCTCCAACAGGTCCATGTCTTTCCTGTGCTGAGGACTCCAGAGCTGGATGCAGTACTCCAGGTGGGGTCTCACGTGAACAGAGTAGAGGGGGAGAACCACTTCCCTCGACCTGCTGGTCATGCTTGTTTTGATGCAGCCCAGGACACGGTTGGCTTTCTGGGCTGCAAGCGCACACTGCCGGGTCACGTTCAGCTTCTCATCAACCAACACCCCCAAGTCCTTCTTCCCCAGGGCTGCTCTCAATCCATTCTCCTCTGAGCTTGTATTTGTGCTTGGGATTGTCCCAACCCAGGTGCAGGCCCTTGCACCGCATTGGCCCACCTCTCCAGCCTGTCAAGGTCTCTCTGGATGGCATCGCTTCTCTCCAGCATGTTGATTGCACCACACAACTTGGTGTTGTTGGCAACCTTTCTGAGGGTTTACTCGATCCCACTATCTGTGTCACTGATTAAGATATTAAACAGTACTGGTCCCAATACCAACCCCTGGGAAATGCCACTTGTCACTGGTGTCCACTTGGACATCGAGCCATTGACTGCAACTCATGAGGTTCGCATGGTCCCACCTCTCAAGCCTCTCAAGGTCCCTCTGGATAGCATCCCTTCCCTCAGGTGTGTCAACTGCACCACTCAGCTTAGTGTTGTCTGCAAACTGTGCTGTCTGCATCATTGATGATGATGATGATATTTAACAGTACTGGTCCCAATACAGACCCCTGAGGGACAGCACTTGTCACTGATCTTCATCTGGACCAGCCATCGGCCACTACCTTCTGGAGGCAACCATCCAACCAATTCCTCATCCACTGAACAGTCCACCATCAAATCCAGCTCTCTACAATTTAGAGAGAAAGATGCTGTAGGGGACCATAACAAAGGCCATAAGTCCAGATAGAAGACATCTGTAGCTCCTCCCTTGTCCACTGATGTAGTCACTCTATCACAGAAGGCCACTATGTTGGTCAGGCAGGACTTGCCCTTGGTGAAGCCATGCTGGCTGACTCAAGTCACCTCCCTGTCCTCCGTGTGACTTATCATAGCTTCTAGGAGGATCTGTTCCATGATCTACCCAGGCACAGAGGTGAGGCTGACAGGTCAGTAGTCCCCAGGGTCCTCCTTTCTACCCTTTTTAAAAATGGGTGCAATGTTTCCTTTTTTCCAGTCAGCAGGGTCTTTACCTGACTGCCCTGGCTTTTTAAATATCATGGAGAGTGACTTGGCAACTAGATCAGCCAATTCCCTCAGGATGCATCTTATCGAGTCCCATAGACTTCAGGACGTTCAGGTTCCTCAGGTGGTCACAAACCTGATTTCTCTTACAGTGGGAGGGACTTTACTCCCCCGTCCCCATCTTGCAGTCCATCCACTCGAGAGGTGTGAGAAGAGATTGCCAGTGAAGACAGAAGCAAAAGAAGTTATTGAGTACCTCAGCCTTCTTCCTCATCCATTGCTATCAATTTGCCAGCCTTGTTCATCAGAAGGGTACACTTTCTTTGGCCTTCTTTTTCTGGCTGACATACTGGTAGAAGCCCTTCTTATCATTTTTTGCATCCCTTGCCAATTTCAGCTCCAGCTTTGCCTTGGCCTTCCTGACCTCATGCCACATAACCAGGCAGCATCCCTATACTCTTCCCAGGATACCGTAAATTTATGGACTATGTTTTACCTACACCATATCTGCTTCAGCAAAATCACCAAGGTGGCTTACTTAACCCACCTTGAGTCAATCTGTCTCTACAAAAGCTTTATAAGAACCAGAAAAAAGCCATGGCAGCATTTCCACGTAATGTCATTTAAGAGCTGGCAGTTTAAAAACACTACCACATGGTGTATTTGCCTCTAAAGCATTTTAAAACTACAGGAGTAGAACCAGAAACTAAACTGCAGAACATACACATTTTGTAGACTTTTGTGTTTCTTGCTTTTATGTAAGTTCTGCATCATGACATGCTCTACTAATATTAAGTAGAGGGAATAAAACCACAATTACTTCTAGACTCTCCAAGAGCAGCTACTACTTTTCTGCCTTAACATCTTACCTTCTCTTTTTTTTTTGTCTCATTATGAGCCCTTTATCATGCAGCCAGAAGAGGATGGCAAAGCCCTAGGTGTGTGAAGACACCAAGGTCCTCTCACTGCTTCAGGGTCAGCTGAGGTGGTTTTGCATTTAAGAATCACTAGCTATAATGCACAAACATCACTGGGAGCAGATACAAGAACTTAGAGCTTTCTCTTTCAGACAACCAATGTCCATCTAGGTTGGAGAACAACTGTTGTCTGTTCTTGTTTTGTTCTCAGCTTTGCATTCCATTCCACAAGGATCAAGGATGAACAGCACAGCTAAAAAGTAAACCCAATCTGCCCAGGTTCTGTAACATGGGAGCACTCTCCTGAGATGTGGAAAAACACAGCTATAAACTTTTCAACCTGAGCAGAGAACTGAACAGAGATCTTCCAGCACCGGACAAGTAAACCACTAAGATGGTATGGAAGAGAACCTTCTGTCCAGGTTTTTGGATGGAAGTCACTTCCTGATGTGTTTTTCTTCGTGCATCATTTACAACAGAGTGACTGAGATGCAGATGCACTCCATCTGTGAGCACCAGACATTTACATGAGATGGATGCTGAGTAACAAACCAAACTGGAAGGCAGCATCTCAGCACATGCAGAACCAGACCTCAGGCAAGCTGGGAATCTTCTGACTTTGGCTGCCAGGCAGAGTTGTTGCTTTCTCAGATAGTGTATCTTAAATTAGATGCTAGATGTTTAAATTCTGCTGTCAAGTGAAAATTCAACATCTAAATGTCTTTGGTAACTTGGGGAAGAGACTGTATTATACTGCTATAGCTTGATTGGAACAGCTTTGTATAAAATGGTATTAGCAACACTAGATCCCACTCCATACCCTCATTACTACTCCTTGCTATCTTGCACAGCTAACAATTTTTCTTTAGGTAGCTCCATTCTTAGAAGCTACTTGGAAATACGACATTATAGGATGTCTGAAGGCCGTTTGGTTATGAGGGAATTTTAAATTATGAGATATCTTCACGAGGCAGTGCCAGAGGTAACTAAACTTTCAGGGATCGAAAATCTGGTTCCATCACAAAGCATTCAATGGTAATAGCCTGTAAATGAGGGTCTAAGACGCAAGTACTTATTTGCTTATGAGGTGCTTGTTATTCTGAAAATACTTGTAACATGACAGTCAAAATAATTTGTCTCTTTTCAGCACCTTGGAAAAAGTTTGAGTATTTTCTAACTCTGTCATATGCTCAGTTCCTGAACTCATAAGCAGCCTTTTATAAATACATTTTTTTCTTACTTATAATCATGACTTGCTACTGTGGTACTATCTAAGAAATATTAAGAAGATGAAAACTTTCACATTACAGCTATGTCAGTTGTTACAGAAATAGCAGGTTTGCAAACCCAGCCTCATACAGCCACATGGAAGCTGTATGGTTCGGTATACTGCAGTATGTTGGGGCTCTACTGACTGTGCTCCTGATCAGCACTCTGCTGACTTCTGTGACTAAAAGTCAACATAGCTTGTATGTTACAGTTCTAGTAAACCATTGTTAAAAAATGTAATTGGAGTCATGACTTTCTTCATAAATAGTTGATAATGTCTCTCAAACTACTGAGATGACCACTATGCTGATTTGAAAACATATTTTATTTAAATATTTTTAAGAAATAAGCAATTTTTTTCTGAGGCTTTTAAAATATCAGTTTTAAAACAAAATCTTAAATCACTTTTGACATTTTTAAACAAAATCTAGCTTCAAAAGACATTCTGAAAGTTTAAAATAAAATAAAAATATTTATTATTGTCACAGCATTAACATCTCTCAAATTATTTAACTGCAATGTCATCCAAAACATTAAACTTAAGCCTGATATATTTCATGCAAGGGTAGATTAGTTAATTTAAGATGCTTAACTAAACCTCTGTATACTACAGTACTACATGACTTTCTCACTCTCCTGGAGTTACAGTAAGTCCTTTGAAGTTTTTCTTCAAGGAGAAAACAAGACTGTTGAAACACTGCTGCGAGGCATCAGGTGGTCTGATTTAGTGCACTAATATCCTTAAATACAGCAAAAAAAAGTTCTTTCATAACCTAAAGCTTTTATTTGCTGATGAATCAAACATACCAAATAGTTCTCATCTTGAAAGGCATAGTGCAATGTAGTAATCCACTGACAATCTCCATTCACCAAGACATTTCTCTCCTCTCGGAAGCAAGCTGTCTGAAGGAAGAGAGAGGAAAAAGCCATTGTCAACATCAACAAGGAGTTTTCACAGGATGAATATATATGGATGTTTTATGGGATTATTTAAAAATAACTGAACAGAGGTCGCTATTCATTGGAATTCAGTCTGCACAAACGACAAGCCAGGGAATCTCTGCAGGCTTGTAGTCAGGCATTCAGTCACTCTAATCCTGACTGCAACCTTAAAAAAACCCAACAAAACAACCAACACACAACACCTCCCTCCCCGCCCCCAACACCAAAAAGCCCACAAACCAATTTGAGTAAACACTGAATCTTTGTTCCATAATGTATTTTTAAAAGCCAGAAAAATTCTAACTTGTCACTGCAATCTGTAGCAGAAAGATAATGGCTCTAGGAAAGTAAGTCTGGTTCTTCTGAAAAAGACCTTTGTGAAAATGGCTTCATGTATACTTTTCCTACACTACAGTTCCAGACACTGACAACACACTAGAGGAAATAAGCAGATTTCACTATTCCTGTCTTATCTTTGTCCAGTATAATACATTTTCATTTTCAATAATCTTTCCTCTACTTCAAATAGCACACTGCAACACTTCAGAGAAGGAAGCTCTGTGTAACAGGTTTTCTCAGCATCTTTACATAAAACCAACTTTCATAAACTTCAAGCGAGTCCTCCTTAATAAAAATATATTAATGTTTTTATTGCATCAGAACTATCAAGATGCAGACCTTGGGATTTTTCTGCTACTCTCAGAGAGCCGTTACTATGATATTTGGTAGCTGCAGATTCAAGTGTTTGGGTGCTAGATAATTTTTATTTTTTTGTCACTGCCACTTGTTCAGATGTCTTAAAAAATGTACCACAGAAGGAACATTCCTGGGAAGCCCAAGCCTTACCGTATACTGATTGCATCTTATAAAGGTATCTTAACCATTTTTCCCACTAAGGAAGCAAAACTCAATTTACGTTTCTGCTGAAGAAGACCATACTGTGGCCACATTGTAAAGTTAGTAAGTATTGGTGCAAAGAGATGTAAAGTGTAATTAAATGTTAACTGCGAGCGGTTTAACGGTTTATGAATGCAAGGCCAAAGTATCACTCTACAAAAAGTTTGGCAGCAACAGCAGCTCCCAGTAATCCTATCCCCTGCCCGCAGCACCAGAGCACAGCACTTCTCAGTTCTCCTGGCACCATGAAGTGAGGAGGCTGCCAACGCAGCAAACTAGTTTGTTTATTTTTGAAGACATCAGTTCCTTGATCCAGTATCCAGTTCACTGTGCAACCTCACATAGCAAGGGAATGTTATGAACACTTCAAAACCAGTAATGCCGCTGAACACTTTGCATCAACAATTCAAAGTATGAAACTCTCTAATTTTCTGCTTCCACTAGCTTAAAAGGCCTTGAGACATGCCTTGAAAAAGCATGCCAGGTGACCTAATCAGCTAGTCAGAACTTATTTGGAACTGTCAACAGTAATACACTCATGACTATGTATTTTGCTGTCAGAACAACAAATAGAAATGGTTCACCTCATCAACATAAATGGCATGCCTATTTTTGCTTGCAACCCACTTATGGATGACAGTTGATATTCATTAATCTTTCCTGTATTTTAGTGGCTTCCGACCATAGTGGTTTTTTTTCCCCTCACAGTTAGTACACAAATAAGCAGTGTTTAGATAACTTTTGTTTAATAAGTCATACAATGTTTTGTATTACAATTCACAAAACAAACATAAGCCAGCAGAATGTGTTTCTTAAACCACTCATACAGTGGATAACAAAACACCTGACGTCTGCTTTTCAGTGGAGCTGCCCACTTAAGAGGCCACTGTATTCTTGCAGGCTTCATTTTGAAAAATAACAAGTTTTACTTCATTTGGGAAATTTTAACACCCAGATGTTTTATGAACTTGATACGCAGGTTATAAAGTCTTGCTTATCCAGAAAAGCCAAATCAAGTAAGCAAACGGAACAGGAAAAGACAAAGGGGCACAGCAGAGAAGACAGGTCCTTTATTGTCTTTTGTAGATGGGGAAAATCAGCTGAAAGAGATCTTAACTGGACTATTACTTGTTCTAACTGTGTATTGGGAAAACTACTGCTCATTATACCTTTTTCTTTGCTGATAACCCTCTTCCACCTCACCTGCCTGAAACGGTAAGAGGAGTTATTCACATAATTGGAAGACAATTTGTAAACAGCTGTCTCCTCGGGACATCTCTATATGTAGATATTTCAGCTATTTAGGTAGGCCATTTAATTAAGTCACTTTAAAAATCACTGAAACAACCCAGCATACCTGTATTTTCATTAGAGTTTGGGAGCCCCCTAAAAGCATTTGGGTTTAAAAAAATTCTATACTGCCAATGAATTAACCCAACAGAAATCTGTGTAGAAAGGGCATGAAATTTCCCCAAGACAGAGGAAGGCTTAATGCAGAACCGCTAATGCAGCACAGCCGAGAGTGTGAACTCTCCTGACAGCTCAAAGAACAGCCGAGTGGCAGGGGGTGGGGGAAGAAGAGCACGGACCGATGGACAGAGTGTGACTAAATCAGGCAAATGCAGTGGTGAAGAGGCTTAACAAGAGGGAGAAGGATTTATTCACAGGAAAAGAGCTGGCACTGACTCACTGAAAGGAAGGGAGGAACTAGGAAGGGTAGGCTGGGGGGGAGGAGGTGTCAGGAAGGGGACAGAAGAATGGGACAGGGAAGGGTCAGCAGGCTCTGTCCTCAGCAAACAGCTAGCCTTTGCCCCTTAACAGGGGCTGCAAGTATTGGTGGGCTACATGTATTTCCCTGCATTTCCCATAAACTGCTGATTTACACAGTATTACATTTGCCATAATGTTTTCCTCTACAATGCAAGAGTAGGTATTCTAGGAATATGCCACTTCCCACGGCATATTCTCAGCAGGTCCTTTCCTAATCTGTGAAGTATGCATGCAGATTTGCATAATTTGGTGACACAACATACATCTCCTTTCATCGAAAATATCCTTTTTAAACAGATTTACCTTTTTAACATATTTAGGTTTACAAACTGAATCCATGATCCCAAAGTATTTAGTTATAATTTCACCAGTTATATAAATCCTGTTACAAACTGTAGGATGCAAAACTCTTTAATGTGTGCTTTCCGGATGCAAGAGAAAAAAAAATTTTCATAATGTTTTTGTATACAGCTGTGAATGTCATAGTAGCACTAATCTCAGCTTTCATGTAGTCTTTAACTTGCCTTTATTGTAAACAAAAATCTGGCCAATAAATTCAGGGTAAGAACTAGGGCAGACTGTCTGGTAAACGAATACACAGTAATGCTGAGAACAACAGATGCCTGGAAGGGACTGTCAGGCTTGATTGCATTAAAACAGCTTAAGAAAAAAAAAGAAAAAAGAATGAAGCTCCTATGCTCATGAAATAATTCTTCCTAATCTGGAAGAGCTTCAATGTAAATTTCCTAATGCCATTTTAAAAATTCTCTGTGTTAGAGAACCATATTACTTACCTCTGCCCTTTTAAGCATTTCCCATTTATTTAGAATTTTCATTGCATAAATGCGCTCTGTACACTTCATTTTAACAACTGCAACCTGAAATAATAAAATATCTTTATTTAACAAAAGCATGGTCAGAGAAATACAATATTTAAATGGCTTAGTATTCACACAAAAGCATGGTCAAAGAAATACAATATTTTTAAACAGCTTAATATTAACAAACTATTAATAAGTTACTACGGAGGCATCAGCAATCAGCTCACACACTGATAAATTACAGCTTGAGTCTTTTCTCCTATATTCCTCCTACATTACTACTACGTACTTGAGGCACAGCACACCATGTGTGGTCAAGTGCTCATGATTAAGTACACCAGGGATGATACATGAGGAGTACGAAGCTTTTCATATGAAGATGTGTAGTAAAGCTGCATTGTTTGCCAAGAACAAGTGATGCTTGTACACCGTGCCTTTGGCCAATGAGGCAACATTTAAAAGGGCAGCCTGAGAAAACAAGAAAGGCTGCTATCAACAGAAATACACTAGATTTGACTAATTTGTTTTCACATTTCCGGCTTCAGAAACTTGAAAGATATTTGCAAATTAACATGCTTTTGTGTACTGTATGCAGATATTTAAAAAGAAGTGAAAACAGTATTCATTTACTTATTCATCATTTTGCTTGAAGTATTCTACTATGCATCCTGTGTATTAGACTTGCTCAGACTGGTTTATTACGAACAGTAGCTGTGCACACAGCTGTACAGTGGAAGAAAAAAAAGAATACAAAAACTTTTAGGCTTAGGAATGCAAAGACTTTATTTTGACCAAGAGTTGTACTCTCCAAGACCAAAACTAATTCTTCTTGTAGTAAAGCCATCATTTCCACAAAATTCTTTCAGCTGGCAAAAGAAAAGCAGGCATCGTGACTAAGACAGCAACATTTTCACAGGACTATACATGGACTGCTTGAATATTTCTGCTAAGCTCTATTGCAGAAGCAGAAGACCAACCAGCTTTCATTGCTTCCAACGGAGCTCTGAGTAGCAGTGTGAAAAATAATAGGAATCACATCAGCTCGCCTCTTCTGTTGCTTAAAAACTCTTATCTATAAAGGATTCAGGAGCTACAGCAGCTCTAAGAAGATGCTGACTATAAACCAAGATTGGAATAATGCATCAAGCAGAGCAACACTATACAAAGTCCTGAGGAGGGAAGAGGGAAATATCTCCCAACACCTTACCAGTAAAGAGGCTCCAGACGAGGGACAGGAGGATGACTGCTCCTCCAGTAACACAAGAATGGGATATTCCCATTTGGACAGACACCTCACTCTGCAGATGCATCCCTAAGCCTCCCACCCCTTGGTGTGTGAAGCTCCACTCACCAGGTCATGTAAGGGATGAGCGACACCTACTACACGCCTGCACACACAGTCATGTAGCGGAAACATATCTTAAGAAAAGGACTAAAAGCTTTGGGAAACTGCAAGATGTTGGCACTACCTGCCATACGTTTTAAACTCTGCTCCATACCGAACGTGACGACTCAGGAAATATCCCCATCTCCACTGAAGGGATAGACCAAACTGAGCACAATTACCTGCTGCAGAGGAACAAAAGCTCTGAGGCAGTAGTTCCCAGGCACAGCTCTGTGAGCCCAGAAGTAGCAATATTCAGGTTTCATTGCACCACAACACTAGAATTGCTCAGCCATTTAAGTACAAATATAGCGCACAAATCAGAACCCAGTTATGCATCTAGTGCACTTTATCTAAGGCCATCACTGCCTGAAAGCACTGCAGGCTGGCCCAAGTCTGAAGCATGCTCAACTGCGGAGGGATGATGTGAGCCCGGCATCACAGAGGACACGCACAGCTGAGGAGCTGTGCAAACATTAGAACAAAAGAGTAAATGAGAACTGGCCTGAAAAAAATGAAAGAAAAAGGAAGCCAAATCTGTAGGACCTATTTAGCAATTCCCCAGTTGCTATCTATATTAGTGTTATTTATTTTCAACTGAAAGGACTGCTTAAAAAAAGCCCAATTTAAACTTTCTGGAGGAAGATAATTGTCTTCTGTGAAAGAAAAAGTAGAATTAATACAAGGAAAGTTGACTCATTTTCACATTAAGTGGTTATCAAATTACGGCACAAGTAAACACACTGCTGCTTTAGTTGTAAGGGCAACAGTGGGACAGTTTCTTGTGCCAGCAGAAAAATTAATGTAACCATACAACAAAATGCATAATTCCCCAATAATTTTATCTCTGGAAAGAAACCTGAAAGGTACAGAAGATGTCTCAGAGAAATAACAGAACTTTGGCCTAACTAGACCTGACTCCTCAACCCATTCTAATCATTAGGACTTTTTTTTTTTTTTTTAAGAAAACAAACAGAAATGCAAAACCCAAACCTCATTGATGTCTAAACTGAACCAGGGAAGCACAAACTAAATTATGCCTTGATAAACTCAGTATTATTATAAGCAAGAAGATTATTGCAATATTGCAAAAAATCCTATACCCTTTGTTCCATAAAACACCTCAGCATTTCCTTGAGTTAGTGTTCTTTTACTTTCTTCATCAGGTAGCAGTATTTCTAAGTTTACATTCATCATATAATGCTTTGGCTGCTTCTGAGATGCTGTGGTAAAGTTGTTTTTCTATTACTTTTGTATTAATTCCTCTTTCTCTGGCATACCTCAAATTCAATTACAATAACCACACTGACCACTTTATGAGATCAAACAGAAACCTCTTATATTGCAACAGTGCTGACCATGCAAGACGTCAGGTTTTAAATATGATGGCTCCTATAGTACATACCAATCCACCGCATCTACTAATGTAAGAAAAAAAGGTCGGTTGGTATTCAGAGGTATTCCAAAGGACATAGATTTGTACACTGCTGCAAATGCCTACTTTAGGAACAAAAGCATTCCTTCTGTCTTCAAAGTTTAAAAGTCTACTGGCCAAACAAGTGCTCACGTTATGTACAGGCTATAAAGACCAGGATTTAATTACGATGCTCACTCTTCATTTCCAAGGCTATTATAACTTACACTGTAATAAAAAAAAAGTATGCTAAGGATAATGAAAAAAAAAATGCACAAGCAGAAGTATAAAACAGCTTCTGAAGAAGATTTAATAACCTAAAACATTCCAGGCCTGGAAGAGATAACAACTGTAATAGGCATACTAAACCAAGACTGTTGCAGAGAAGATGAAGAGAGAACAATTATTTGCTGTTTCTTATAACACAGAAGTTGAAAAGCATCAAATAAAATAAAAAGGTAGCAAGATTAAGGAAGTATTATTGTCACACAACAGTTTTGGAACTCAGTCCCAGTCTGCTGTGGACACCTAGGTACTTAGATAGCATTTAAAAGTACATGCTTAATACGCCAGTAACACACAGCAGAAGTCTCAGAGACTACTGACCACTGAGTTAGAGGCATGGTGAAGGAGCCCCTGAACCATCAGCCACTGGAGGAAGCTGGGTTGAGCTCTGCTCTGGCCTTGAACTTTTCCTATACTTTCCCTATACTATCCTATACCTGAACAAAAGGATGGGATGTGGGCTAACTAATCTAACTCAACAATCACAGAGTGGTTTGGTAGAGAGATTTAGGTGATTGTGCTTTACCAAGCCTTAAAACACTGATAAGGAAAAATTCCAGATGCAGCGATTCCCCCGCTACTGCAGCCCCCTTTCCAGACAAGGCCCTGCGGGTCTAAGCTGTCACCAGCTGATGTAGTTCCTGTCACTGGGACTTGTCATGCCCAGGATTCACAGCAACAGGGACAGTGCAATAAAGATAAGTACGTCTCCTCAAGCACCTCAGAAAGCCTAATGAATCCTAGTGCCTACACTTCAACCAACCCTATGTCAAAAAAAAGTACAAGAACGGGGGCTAAAGGACAAGTGAGAGCCAGCTTTGGTAACTACAGGCCATAACACCCTATCAGATTGGTATTGCTTCAGACATCCATTTTCTTCCAGTACTTTTTGCCTCAAAGCTCTGATTCACTTGTATTGCAATAACACAAAAATGGAACCAATATAGATAAAATAACATTTTTAGATTTTGGAAAGAGCTAGTATTTTGCTTCTTCAATTGTTTTACAGAAGTGTTTTGCTGCATTTTCATCTTCAAAAGCCACTTGATATTGACATTTAGGGCTGCAATGTGCAATGCCAGCCAAGGCCAAGTTCCACCCTTCCTCATGCCCCGATGAAATCTACAGGGTGGGAATGTGAGCCAGATCAGCCTCTACAAACATGACAGAATTTCCCACCACTGTACTCTGCCCTTCGAGTGACACAGTCAACACCAGTAAGCAGTATCAAGTTACAAATTTTCTTTTAGGTAAATGAGAAGCATGGTGCAAGAAAGAGCAGAAATAATTTAAATACAAGACTGGATTTCCACAAAACAATTAACATAGTTAACAAAAAGACTTCCTACTGGAAAGTTTATAAATTCTTTGATGCTCAACTTCTTGGGAACCACGCTGGCGTTAGTTTCAAGGCAAAGATAAAAAAGCCACCTAACAACTATTCGTGCTTGTGGCATGTTAAAACTTTCAGGTAAAACTTATCCTCAAGGACTGGACTTTCAGGGATAAGGTGAAACTCAAATGCAAAAAGTTCTCCACTGAAAAGAAGAACACTGACATATAGGTGATAATCCTTGTGCAATCAGCTCATAATGACAGGTAGGTAGGCAAACACTGGAATTCACAGGCAGATCCACAGCACTAGGGAGGGGTAAACACTACTGCCTTGCAGAAAGACGAACTCACTGGAAACTCCACACACAGCCACACCCCAGAGAAATAAACTTTATTTGCAGCAGGTGTGAAGTAGGACTATTGACTTGATCAAGGAACTAAAGAGCCTCTCATACTACTGTAGGAATAGAGAAAGTTCTGCTTGCTCAAAAAAAAAAAAAAAGTCAAAAAGTAGATGTGATTGCTACATACAAATAAAATTGGAAGGAAGGACATCAGTAATAAGGATGATAAAAGATAAAAGATCTGCTTAGGCTAATGGGCAATAAAATTACATGGATAAAATTGTGCAAAATTACC